TTTTTTCTTTTTTTTTTTAAGAATCATTATACACTGTAATATTTGCATAGCTGTACACAACATTTACATTTGATAAAATGCATGTCCTACATACTGTGTGTGCATGTGTGTGTGTCTGTATGTGCCTCAGTGCAGTGGTGGATTGCACCGGGGGATCAAAAGTAGAATGAATGTTCATTCCACAGTTCAATGAAATCTATTATTGGGAGTATTTTAACATCAGGCACAGAGTCTCAGCTGAGCATTTGTCGACAGTTTGCAGTATCCATTGAAATACTGTGACTTACAATTCAAAAGAGAAGGCTTCCTAGAATTGGATTCTGATCCAATCCTAAGTAGAGTTAAAGCCAGTACCCTCGAGCTGTTTGGATGTAAATCCATCTCTCTACATCTCTCCAAAGCTCTCGTCTTGATTGCTATTTGGATTCCTTGCTGCATGCAGGGCATGAATAAGTGAGCAGAATCTTGATCTTGTGCAGAATAAATGTTCTTGCTAGTACCACTTCAAAACAGATTGACACACACAGCGACTGCATCTTTTAGCCTGGTCTGCAGTTTTTTTGTGACTGATCAAAATAACTTCATAACAAAAGCAACATTAACATTGCATAACATCACATTTTTTAATATCTATAAAAAATGGATGTTGTGTTTGTTTACATAGCTGATGGTCACTTACTGAACTCCATGTTCCGCGGTTGTGGCGCGGTCTTCATCAGAGCAACCCCACCATCTCACACATGAGTTTAGTTTAAGATAGGTGGGGATTTGTGTACCTTAAACCATTTAGTGTAAAACTCAGACAATAGATTGAATCCTCGGTGCTGTCGAGCCACACAGTCCTGCACACTAAGCCGGTTATTTATATGCCTTGCATTGTATAAAAAGAAGGAACACAATGTTCCCTAGCTGTTCTGAATAGAAATCTTAATTAATTAATAAATCTTGGCAGCAGAACCATTCCTGACCGACAAAAAACAGGACAATGAAGCCCACAGATGGCAGTGGGGAACAGTGTCTCTGTGTGTAAGCTGATAAGTCATGCACTGATGAGTCCATTTCTTAATTGCAATGAAAACTCATTTTCAAATCTGGCTGAAGAGGTGGGGTTATTAATTGATCTTTTAATTAAAAAGCCTGCGTTCTATGGGTTCTCTTGGCAAACAATAGTTTGTAGCTAAATAAATCATATTCGGTTTTGAAGCACACCAATTAATCATTAATAGTCACATGAGAGTCACATGAGTTTTGCTTAAGGCATGCGACTCAATGAAACCCTGTGCATTAAGGTGAGGTGCTTTCTAAACAAACCATGTCCATTAATAATAGATGGAGAGAAGGTCAAACATTTTATTCATCATTAACATGCTTGTATTCATGTACTTTGGAGAGATGTACAATTAGAGACGTCATCTTTATTTTGATGACAAGCTCTGCATAATTCAGATGTAGTGGAAGTCGGTGTGTGATTGACCCATAAACGGCCATTTGTCACCCGGTAGGGCCTTACAGCGCCCATTTTTCTGCCATGCCTGTGCTATTCCTGGACCCAACCCCTCACCCCCATCTGGTGGAGTCACCATGACTCTAGGCATGATTTACAGCACCACCACAGCATTCTCCAGACACTAAATTACCTGGATTATTGGGCCTTCATGATTTTTAGTGCACTACTTTGCATTACTCTCCAAATCCTGATGGTGTGTTGCACAATATATGATGATATAGGACATGCCAGCAAGTTAAAATTGGAATTATTGGATTGGACTGAATTTTATGGGTGTGATCTGTCTTAACAGATCCCAGTGCCAGGATCTAAATTGGAAAGACTTGATATTATCGATATGCATATAAAATCAGAGCTTTTTGGACCACCTACAAAACTATGGGGGATATTTTTCTCTATTCCAAAATCTTGCATTGGTTATATGATTTGAGTGGTGAGAGAGACATTTACTTGAGCCCAAACTACTTTTGAATTCTGGCCATTTGATTAAAACTAATAGTCTGGTAAACTTTTATAAGAGGTGATAGATGATGATTGATGATCTATATGCCTGGTCCGGCACCGGATAATTTTAAGAGAAATCTGGGTTTATAGTCATAGTTACCACCCCTTAGTTACACCACTGGGATGGATGGGATACAGTAGTTATACTGTATATACCAAAAATAAATGAAATAAATGTATTTGTTTTTTCAATCAAATTTTGCATGCCAGGATTTTAACTAACTTCTAATAAGAGGACAGTAATTAACCAAGGTTAACCATAAATAGGAAATCCTTTGAGTTTGATAAAGAAAGCACAGTGTTCTTTTTGGCAAATAGCTGATCCACTTGGTAATAAATAAAAGGGAACAAATCAAAAATGCTCCTGCTTCCAAAAAGGCAATACAACAGCTACATGAAAGGAGCAAATTTAGACTATTTGGCAGTGGTTTTGTGTTAAGTTTTAACATAAAAGACAGAAGCTCTATGTGTGAGGTTTCAAGTATTGACACATCTGCCTGGACCACCATGTCCACTGTCCTAGCATGTGTACAGCGCGACAGCCAGGTCACCCTGGCGCTTTCAGAGGCTTCAGATAATCAATGGCTCCGCACAATGACACCAATGGAGGATTACGAGGATTCACTAAGCCTCTGTCGGTCAGCATACTGCATTGATTTTGTCATACTTGTTATTGGGTTATATTTCTGTCCTGTAGAGCACTGTTGCAATTTTCTCTGTTACCTTCCATTTCTTTAAGTATTGTATTGCTCCTCTCTGGAGCAAATTGTCAAATGCAAAACACTGATGTTATTTTACCACAACTGTTTGTAACCCTCCTATTCCTTGCTGCAGGTTGTTTTAGCTCTCCTGCAAAGATACTGATGGGGGCTTGCTTTTTCAGGCTGTCTTTATGGTGTGATTACCATCAATGCCATTTTTGATTAAAACAGATTTTTGAAAAGGAGGTTGAAAAAAAAAAAAGTTTCTGAAGCGAGATTGAGTCAGAAAAGTATTCATACTTCGAGTTTGGATGCTTCATAAATTCATGGGTGCACAGACCTAAAGCATGCTCACACATGTGCAGCCAGCACAGGCTTCCAGTCAAGGTCTACTAATACCCCCCAGCATGGCATCCAACATTTCAAACAGTGATATATGAACAGGAAAAGCCCTAGCATAAGGCCCATCGCTTGATTCACTGTCTCCAGTCCTTCAGATTATTCAGCTCAGCCACAAAAGAGGGAAAATAACTGCATAATTGGCACACATGTGCAAGGACGGAAAATCTACATACACTGGTCATACAAACATGCTCATTACGATGCAGAAGAAGGTTGGTGGAAGGGCATCTATCATCACAGAGCACACTGTCACCTCAGTGTGCCTCTCTTACATGATCATACACCACATGTACAAATGTTCAGATGTGTCTTGTTCACCTTGCACAGATCTGTTGCAGCCCACCTCATCTATCTCTATAGCCTCTCACAGGTTGGCAGAGAGACACACTGCACCTATACTGGATTCTCTTCATTAAAATGAAGCTCAGACATTGGCAATATCTCAAAAAAATGTAAAATGTACATGCAGTATGTGCTACAATGAAGCATGCTGCTATTATTATTATTATTATTATTATTCAGTAGGAATAGACTATTCAGACATTGGATTAATGTGTCACTGTTTGCAGTTCGGGGAGTCTGATGCCAGTTAGTACCTTGGGGTTGTGTTGTCCAGAGCTGCGTCAGTCCACTCAGAGGTCATCTGTTAGGAACATCTCCAAATGCAATTGAAAGTAAAGGTTTGGAGGCGCTTGGCCAAGCCCTTCCACTGGATACAGGCTATAGCTCTGATTGACAGCTCGATCTTAAAGGCTCATTGTCAAGGATATAAATAGTCCACATCTCACTTTCAGACATGGCTGGACAATTTACTGCTAGCTGCAGGACTGACCTGAAGAGTGTTGGCTTCTTCCGTGTATCGTCAGCTTTTAATCAGAATCTGTATGAATGGCACAAAGTAATTTTGCTGGTATTGTATGTCAGACCGCTGTGCATCTGATTGTGTGTTTTATTATTTGTCAGGCTTTGGGGAGTCAAGCCAAATTTACACAATATACAATGTCAGATTGAGCCCGGTGCCTTGTTATGATTGGTTCTCCTGTTTGCTTGCCACTGTTGATTAATGGAGAAGCAGGAAACCAGTCACGTTCATACCAGTGGGTATAACCCTGTATGCATTCATTTCTGTGAGTAACAGTGCAACTCGCAGCAAGCACTGCTTGTCCTCAGTCTCTTACGAGGGTCATTTTATTTGGTTTACCCTCCAAAGGTTATGAATTCAGTAATACTCTGATAATGGCCAATAATTACAAATGTAACAAGTGAAACATTTTTATTCCCATTATGTGACTAAGGGAATGGTAAGATTCTGTATTTTTTTTATTTTTTGTCTGGTAGGTTTTGTCCAAGCATATACTCTATTCAACAAAATGCTATTGTTGTAAGTCTATATAACTTCAATTCATTAATTTCATTTCTTTCAAGGCTGCGTTTCCATAAGCAGGGTAAATATTTGAAGTACAAAAGGACAGGGCTGCTTTAGAAACTGTCCATATGTAAAAGCTGCCTTCATGACACTGGCGAAGAGATTTACACCACATTCCAGCACATGAAAGGAGCCTCATTTTGCATTCACAGAACCTGTCTGTGCCATTGAGTCTTTGAACTTCCATTAAGCCATTTATCACCATGCAGTGCAATTCATTTCATTTTCCTAACATTGGGGGTGGATGCCATCCCCCTTCCCCAACTCCGCCTCTAGGCTCTGAGTGTTGAGTTTACACTATGTAATGTGTACACTGACTAGGATGTTGGAGGTTGTCATTTTCAAGTTCAGCAACCTTCCTTCATCAGTGCTTCTTGTCTTATTATCATTACTTATTTTCTTTTTTAAATTGTCCTTATGCTGGTGTGTAACCTTCCAACATTTCTTTGCTTTTTTTCAGTTGCCCCCTCTATCCATGAGATGAAAAGTCATGGAGTTGGTCTGGGACGCACAGCTCTGCTAAGGTGTGAGGCAGCTGCTGTCCCTTCTCCGACATTCGAGTGGTACAAGGGCGAGAAAAGGTGAGCCCAGTTTGATTGTATGAGTTGTCTTATGATTAAGTGTATTGGCAGCATCACCCAGATGTTCACTGGATGCAGGTGTGTCATGTTTAAGTTGCATGACATCATGGCTCAGGTGCAGTTCCAATGTCCGCTGTTTTTTTTTACAATGTATGACAGTATGTTTGCAATTCATTTATTTGGTAGCATTCACTTGTGTGGCTGAACTCTTAATTACTTTACACACATACAATCTTACCTGTATTTTGCACCTGTGTTTCCTGATTAGCTGTATATTAGAAAACTGCAGCATCTCCAGCAGCACACATCCAGCGGACATTAGAGGTTAGTCCACCAATATGAATATGAATGGATACGAGTTGGTTATATGTACTGTAGGTGAAATTAAGTGTTCGTTTTAGCTCATGTAATTAACAAGTGGATATGAAGTTTAAACAATCCTTGGAAAACAACATATTTTGTTGAGTTGATAGAACCGTAATTGTCCTGGAGCAATATTACACAATAAACCTGTATTGGAAGCGTATATACAACCAACAAATGCTAATTATTATTTATAATTATGTTTTGCACTGAGGTGCATGGGGCAGTGTAAAGGTAGTGTTTAAAGTTGGACTCTGAACTAAAATCTTCCACGCTGACATTGGACAATCATTATGTCATTCTTGTCTGTGGACATGTAAGCGTGAATGTGTGAAGCAGGGTGTGGTTTTTGTTTGTTTGCTTTTTCCCAGAGATAGATTTATTCGTTCTCCCATTAGTCCGGCCTCCGGGGAGAGCCCACCTAAATGCTCCAGGAAGAGTCATTTGTGCCTTGTCCTCACCTTGCATCCTAATATAATGTTTGCTGGCAACTGGCTTAAATCATCCGCAGCACATACATCAATCAGTCTAGATTCAAGTGTCAGTTCTTGAATTTAAAAACCAAATTACCCCCATTACCCACTCCTGGTGAGCACAATTTCAATCATCAGCTCACACTGTGCTAATTGTAATTATGGGGTGGATTCGATTTATTCAAATTGCTAAGGAGGCAAGTTGGCATGATTCTAGTCTTTACTTAATTCAAGGACTTGTTCTTTCTGTGACTTCTTGGATGGCTAAATGGTGATTTCTTCATTTACTCCTCATTATGAAAAGGACATTATTATAAAGACTTAAGCACAGAATGTATGTAGCATCTGTACAACATTAACACTGGCGGTGACGACTCTTGTGCCCATTTACCATGAATGGGAAATGAAGGCCACTTCTTATATTGGCTCTGTGTTGATGCCGCCATACCATAAGTACAATGCTGCTCCCAGTTTGTCTCTGTTGGAAGTAGTGTGACAGTTTTGACAAGCAAATCTTTATCTTGATGTGTCAGTGCTTTTATTCTTGAATGGAAGGGGGTGAGTGTTTATGTGTGTGTGTGCAGAGAATGGGGGGGTTTCTTTCACTATGACAGAGAGGAGCATTGACTAGTTTGATGTTGAACTAGTGAAGAGGCGAGACACCCGCCGAGATTATCAGTGAATGTTCAGCTAACATTTGAGGAGTTCGCCATGGGAGAGGGAACAACAGATTTGCGGATATTTGCTGGACATAAGGTCACACATAGTGTTTCAACTCAGAGTGCCTCTCAGAGCAACTCGAGCCAAGCTAGAGATCATGGGGGGCCACAGCAAGGCCAAGGGAAACATGCCTCCTCTCTGGAGGTTTTTATGGTTTATAATGCCAAATATGAAACCACAGTGATGAAAACAAACCCAGCTGTAATATCTACGATAATCTCACCATCAGGATGCACAGCATATGCCGTTACAGAGTGAATTTTAATTTCTACAGGCTGCTAAAGATCATCACGACCACCAAAGTAAACAATTTAACATTTGTCAATTTCACTGCACAGATGCCAGGCACAACTGGAATAGGATTTATTGTAATCCCCCTGCACCTGCAACAAAACGATGAACAACATGTCAAGTGGCACCCAGCTGGTTCACCTCTGGGTCATTTCTCTCTCCTCTCAGTCCTTCAAAGCGTCTCTCCAAGGCAATGGCGACAGACCAAGGGATAAATAGATTTGTTGAAGAGGGTGATGAAGTACTATACAATCTGAAGATCCACTAAAGGATGACAAACATTTGTACCGTCCTTGACTCA